ACAGCTGTTGACGGGGGGGAGCTCTCCCTCGCTGGCTCTTGCAGCTTGGGCGCGCGAGGACCACGCGGCGCCGGCCCGACACTTGGTTGCTGTGAAGAATCGAGCCGGTAGGACTTCTCACGGTCCGCCGGGAGCATATCACGTCTGTGACACACGGGTATACGTGAGCAGAGTACACAAAATCCCCACACTCAATCTCCACATGGACGATGATGAGGCCTACGGCGCGCATAATAGAGGGTGTGCTGTGGACCCTGAGTTGACCAGGGGTTGTGCGCTGGGCCCTCCTGCTCGGCTCCAGCCAGTAGACAAGTCTTGTCATCAACAGAGTAGAAGGATCTGACCTCGGGGCCGATGTGACCAAGCGCTGGTAGCGTGGTTTGTGCCGGCAGTTCGCCGAGCAGTGTCGCTCACACAAGCCGCAGCACAAGTGACTGAGGGCCAGTGAGGGCGAGCCCATCGCTGTCAACAGCTGTGGCAGCCGCACAGTAGGCTGTGCCAACTGTGCAGAGCGTGTGAGCAGCAGAGGAGCTGCTCTCCAGGCTTCTGTCGCAAAGAGCTGCATGCCACCGAAAGCGCTGTCGAGGTTCGCCGAGCGCGGCGCAGGTTGGGGGAAGCCGCCACCGACGAGCGCGTTGGACTTTTCACTCCGGACAAAAAACGCGGCACAGCGGACGGTACGGGGCGTGCCGCAAACATAGCGGCGAGGCGCGGGACCGTCTGTGGCGAAGTGGGTCGCGTCCCCCGATTTCCTCAACTCACGGTCCGCTCCCCGTAAAATGAAGAGAGAGGAACACATCGTCATCGAGTGACGAGTGGCTGAGGGGATTATATACAGTGGTCAGTGCTCAAACTTTACCGACCGGTATGAGACCGGTATTTGGTGGATATTTTGATTTAAAGTTTTGGAGTGGTATGCGAAAGAAAGTGGTCTGCGAAAGTGGTATGCGGGGTTTTCATTAGTTGTAGCGCGGGCTGTCGGTGTGGTCCCGGGGGCGAAACCATGCAAAAGTGCGGGTTTAACCCGCGGGTATAGATACCCGGGGTTTTTCCAGGTATTTTGCCGATTTTGCCGATTTTGCCAAGAAGGCACACTCCGACTCGCTTTGATTTCCGTGGCAACTGGGGTATCCCGTACCACTTTTTGATTAGTGCAGGCCTTGGGTTTGATTACCCAAAAACTCCCATACCGGTAAAGTTTGAGCACTGGAGGGGAAGCTCTTCGCTGCACGCTGGGTGGAAGGAGGCCCGGCCAGCCTTGAGGGAGTCGCAGAGGAGGAGGAATAATGGAGGTAACGTGCCGGTGGGAACAGGCCAACAGCCAGTGGGACGAACGAGGGCCGCGACGGCGGCCCAAGCGGGAGGGAGCGGAGACAGTCGGCAGCGAGCGAAGTGGGGGAGACTGATGATGCTCCTTCGACTTAGGGAGCGGTTCAGCTGCTGGGCGGGCTTAGAGCTGGTGCTCACGCGAAAAGGAATCGACGCAATGTACAAAGCATACAAGAAGAGGAGAAAGAAGAGGCGGGACACCAGTGAGGACGAAGCAGAAACTAGCGCAGACGAGAGCAGGGCAGACCCTGGGACGGCGGAGTCGGAGCAGACGGCATCGGCCGCCGAGGGAACGTTGGGAAGAGGCACGAGGAGGGCGGCGACCTCAACCGACTATGGAGGACCCGTCGCCAGACGACACAGGGCAGACGATGTGGAGGCGGAGCAGACGCGCAGGGCGAGACGAGGGAGGGAGCAGGAGTGTCTTGCCTATGCTCGAGCATCTCTCGAGATGTTTTTTTCAACTCTAAGATGCCGGAGCATCCTGGGATGCTCGAATCATCTGAAGATGCTTCGCGCATCCTCCAAGACGACCAAGATGCTTGGCATTTAATGATTAAAATGCAAGTTAAATTATAAAGACTTGAGCGGCGTGTGAGGCAGCCCTTGGATCAAAGTTGTGGAGTGGAGACTCTGAATCTATGCTAATCTCAGCTGCTATGCTATGTAAGTGTGATGTGACTATTTACTCTGTCGTCTGTGGAATACTACTGATGGTGATTGAACTGGGAGCCAGTGAATGATGGTGGGGGGCACTTAGCCCTTGTGCTAATGTGCTGACTTTACTACACTATGGACGATCGGTTGTATGTGTAAGACTGGTTTTTATTTCGGCTTCGGGTTCGGCAAAAAAACTCGGACACTTGAGTGTCGATCGAAAAATAGGGGGGAAATCCGACAACGCGCTCATGTTCCTGATGCATTGCGCATCCTCAGATGCCACATTGCATCCTGGGATGCATGGACTAACCCAAGATGATGGCATGGCTGCCACACACCCTGAGTCGGCGTACACATAACTCAGGGCCACATCCTCCCTGTCGCCCCCCCCAGCACTCCAAGGTGCCAAGAGAAACAAACAACGGCACAACAAACAACCTCTAGGTAGGTAGCAACCTCTGACGCTCTCGAAAAGAAACCGGGAAAATTCCGAGAAATCGTGCGGCGCTGGGAGAGATCTCAGCTCCAGGATCGCGGCTCTCATGTTGTTGACCACGCACGTGCTGGCCTGGTCGCCGGCTGCGCACCCGCCCCCCGTCTGCTCCACCGGCGTGCTGCCCGAGCTGGCCGCCGCCGCAGCGGTCGCCGCGGCGGGCGCTGAGCGATGCGCGCGGCTGCCGGCGGTCGGCAGCCGTGGCGGCGTTGCGCGGGCGGTCATGACGACCGACCCGCCGATCGCGGTGCCGGGGCGCATGTCGAAGCTCGAGCGGATGCGCTCGCGCTACGGCGTCGCGTACGAGCCCGAGGGCGGCTGGGCGCCGCAGGAGGACGCCATCTCATACGCGGACCTCGAGGCGGGCGTGGGCGACATCGCCTCCTTCTCGCGGGGCGACTCGGTGACGGGGACGGTGCTCGGGTTCGAGCCCAACGGCGTGCTGATTGACATCGGCGTCAAGTCCTCCGCCTACTGCCCCATCGGCGAGGCCGCCCTCGAGAAGCCCATGCGGCCCGAGGACGTCTTTGACCTCGGCGCGTCGTATGAGTTCCTGATCGTGTCTCGCGAGGACGAGAACGGGCAGCAGCTGCTCTCGCGCCGGAAGATCCTGACTGTCCAGGCGCGGCCGCCTCCCTCCCCGCGCGCTGGTGGGGGTGTGGTGGGGGTGCCAACGGGACGAAGGGCGCGCGCGCGCGCGCGGGGGGGGCTGAGGGGCCGGCGCAACCGGCGCAGGGGGCAGGGTTTTGGAGGAGGAGGGGGGGGGGGGGGCACGCGGGGAAAGGAGCAGAGGAGGCTGAGGGTGTCCCCGCTGCACCGCAGGCGTGGGACCAGGTCTCGGAGATGATGGCCGCGGACAAGGCCGTCGAGGGCACCGTCGCCGCCGTGAACCGCGGCGGGGCGATAGTGACGGTGAGTGTGTGTGTGAGTGTGTGCCAGCGGTCGGCAAGAGACGGGAGAGGGAGTGTGGTTGCGAGCCCCTCCTCACGGGGAGCCGCGTGGCGTGCAGCCGCGTGGCGTGCACATCCTGTGACTCTATTCGCGTCCTGCCCCACAGCCCGATGCCCGCCACCGCCAAACCCGCCGCCCCCCCTCACCCCCTCCTCCATCCCGCCACGCTGTAGGTTGAGGGGCTGCGCGCCTTCCTGCCCGGCTCGCACTACTTGCCCGGCCAGAACCCGCCCGAGGCAGCCTCTCCCCCATCTCTCCCCACCTCTCCCCACCTCTCCCCATCTCTCCCCATCTCTCTCCATCTCTCCCCATCTCTCCCCATCTCTCCCCATCTCTCTCCATCTCTCCCCATCTCTCCCCATCTCTCCCCATCTCTCCCCATCTCTCTCCATCTCTCCCCATCTCTCCCCATATCTCGCACTACTTGCCCGGCCAGAACCCGCCCAAAGCGGCCTTTTCGTCGGGCAGCCTCGCAAGGTCACATCTCCCCCACATCTCCCCCACATCTCCCCCACATCTCCCCCACAGGAGCTCGTCGGGCAGCCGCTCAAGGTCAAGTTCCTCGACGTCGACCGCGAAAACAACCGGCTGGTGGTGTCGCACCGCAAGGCGAGAGGGAGTGGCGAGAGGTAGAGGGAGTGGCGAGAGGGAGTGGCGAGAGGGAGTGGCGAGAGGGCAGCCCGAGTGCTTGCGGCGGGTGGTGCGGCGGAGATACGGCCGGCGGGTTCACGCCGCACGCCGCCGTTTGGGGCGGAGGGAGAGACGGAGGGAGAGGCGGAGGGAGAGGCGGGGGGAGAGACGGAGGGAGAGGCGGCGGCGGCGGGGGGGGGGGGGGGGCTTTGGTCCTGCCCCTCGTGGCGGGGACCAGACGAGAGAAGAGAGGCCGATCTGATGCGAGGGGCGGCGAGATATGGGGAGATATGGGGAGATCTGATGCGAGGGGGCGGCGTGCTGCTCGCATGCGATGGTCGACCAGACGATCAACACATCTCCCCACATCTCCCCACCTCTCCCCACCTCTCCCCACCTCTCCCCGCCTCTCCCCACCTCTCCCCACATCTCCCCACATCCCCCCACATCCCCATCTCTCCCCATCTCTCCCCATCTCTCCCCATCTCTCCCCATCTCTCCCCATCTCTCCCCATCTCTCCCCATCTCAGGCGATGGTCGACCAGACGATCAACAACCTCAACGTCGGCTCCGTCCTCGCCGGCGTCGTGACCGCCGTCAAGCCCTACGGCGCCTTCGTCGACCTGGGGGGCATGTCTGGCCTGCTGCACATCTCTCAGATCTCGTGCGACCACATCTCGGACGTCGCGTCGGTGCTGCCGCTCGGTGAGAAGGGGGGGGAGGGGGGGGGGGGGGGAGCCCCCAAGAGCCAACGAGATGCGCCTGCCCGGCCACTCGATGTCTGCTCCGAGTGCGTGCGGCTGCCTGCAGATCCCACTTGCCTGCCTCCAGATCCCACTTGCCTGCCTGCAGATCCCACTTGCCTGCCTGCAGATCCCTCCCACTTGCCTGCCTGCAGATCCCACTTGCCTGCCTGCAGATCCCACTTGCCTGCCTGCAGATCCCACTTGCCTGCCTGCAGATCCCACTTGCCTGCCTGCAGATCCCACTTGCCTGCCTGCAGGTCCCACTTGCCTGCCTGCAGATCCCACTTGCCTGCCTGCAGATCCCACTTGCCTGCCTGCAGATCCCACTTGCCTGCCTGCAGATCCCACTTGCCTGCCTACAGATCCCACTTGCCTGCCTGCAGATCCCACTTGCCTGCCTGCAGATCCCACTTGCCTGCCTGCAGATCCCACTTGCCTGCCTGCAGATCCCACTTGCCTGCCTGCAGATCCCACTTGCCTGCCTGCAGATCCCACTTGCCTGCCTGCAGATCCCACTTGCCTGCCTTGCAGATCCCACTTGCCTGCCTGTAGGCGCGCCGATCAAGTGCATGGTCATCTCTCAGGACAAGTCTAAGGGGCGCGTCGCCCTGTCGACCAAGACGCTCGAGTCCGAGCCGGGAGACATGCTCAAGAAGCGCGAGAAGGTGTTCGAGGAGGCCGAGGCGACGGCGGCCAAGTACCAGGAGAGGCTGGAGGCGGAGCGCAAGGCGCGCGAGGCGGCGGCGCAGGACGGCGATCTTTTTCTTTTTTATCGTTTGTGTTTCTTTTGTAGGCGCGCGAGGAGGCGGCGCAGGACGTCATCTTTGGGCTCGAGTCGGTCTTCGTCGACGAGCCGGCCAACGAGGCGGACGCCGACGCGCCGAGCCCCGAGCCCGCCGCCGAGAACTAGACGCCGCGGAGGAGGAGAGGGACGGGGGATATGGCGCAGCCACGGCGCCGGCGCTCCTTGTGTGCATGGCTCCCCTCACCCCACCCCCAAGCCGATGGGCTGGGCGGGAGGAGGAGGGGGGGGATGGCGGAGGCGGAGAGACGAGAGTCGCTCGAGGGTGTACTATGCAGCCGGGGCCGATGGGCGGCATGCTCATGGCTCACATGCGCGCGAGCACATGCCGATATGATGTCTGCCATTTTTTTGCTGCGTGCCAAGGGGCGATTAATATGCGATGGGCAACACACATCGAGACCCAGGTTCAGCCGCCGACCGTCCCCCGGCGCCCACACGCCACACGGGTCCCGCGGCCGGCTGCGGGTGCGCGGCTCCTCTCGCTCTCCCGGTCGCGGTCCCACGCACACCCCCGCGTGCCGCGACTCTAGGAGAGCATGCTACCAAGCTAGAGCATGCCCTACCGAGCTACCAGCGCGAGCAGACGCGGCAAGTGGGCTGCGGAGCCGAGCCGCTCTCCACGCCTCCTCCCCCCCGCGCGCGAGCGCCGCCCGGGCCTCGAGAGCAACCTGCCGGCGTGGCGGCGTCCTCCTCGTCGCGCGGCGCGGACAGCGCGGCGGTGGCGGCGGTGGCGGCGTCCTCGGCGTCCTCGGCGGCGGCGGGCGGCGGCATGGGCAGCTCAAAGGCAGCGGCGCGGTCCTTGCGGTCCCCGGTGCCGAGCTGCCCCGCCTAAGGTGGGAGATGTGGCCCCCGAGCGTGAGGATGCGAGGGAGATATGGGGAGATGTGGGGAGATGTGGGGAGATGTGGGGAGATGTGGGGAGATGTGGGGAGACATGGCCTGCCCCCTCCCAAAGGTGAGGATGCGGCCGTCACGCGACCTCACGACGGTGTGGTCGATGCCGGCGGCCACCTGCGGGGAGGGCTCCAACCGAAGCTCTGAGAGGGCAATCTGAGAAGGCAAGCTCGCTCGCCGCCGGAGTGGCCCGAGGGAGGCTCGCAGCTCGCCTGGGCAGCGCAGACCCCCTCCGGCAGCAGCACGCGCGCAGGGAGGGGGCACCTACGGAGAGATGGGGAGAGGTGGGGAGAGGTGGGGAGAGGTGGGGAGAGGTGGGGAGAGGTGGGGAGAGGTGGGGAGAGGTGGGGAGAGGTGGGGAGAGGTGGGGAGAGATGGGGAGAGGTGGGGAGGTCTGATCTCGGAGGGGGCAGCACCTACGGAGCTCCCGACCTCACGGGAGGCTCACCGGAAAGGCCCACGCGCGCAAGGGCGCGGGCACAGAGGAGGGGGGGGGGGGGGGAGAGCCAGAGAGAGAGAGAGAGAGAGAGAGAGAGAGAGAGAGAGAGAGAGAGAGAGAGAGAGAGAGAGAGAGAGAGAGAGTGAGAGTGAGAGTGAGAGCAAAGGCGCGGGCACATGCGGCGCGGTGCACTCGTCGCGGCGTCGGCAACCGACCGGGCGCCTAGGGAGAGATGGACAGATATGGGGGAGATATGGGGAGATGTGACGGCGTCGGCAGCCGACCGGGCGCCTCCCTCGCTCACCGTCGGCGGATGCGTGGCGTGGACTCCTGCAGGACGTGTCCAGGACATTGCGGAGGAGGATCTCGAGGGTGGGAGATGTGGGGAGATGTGGGGAGATGTGGGGAAGGGGAGATATGGGGGAGATATGGGGAAGATATGGGGGAGATGTGGGGGAGATACGGGGAGGCATGGACATGGCGGGTGCTGTGTGCCTAGCCGTCCGTTGGCACACGCGCCGCAGGTGAAGAGGGCGCCGTCTTCGCTCACAAACGCGGAGTGCGCCTGTCGGACGCCACGACACGTCCACGACATGTCCGGGACACGTCAATGTCCGCACCACGAACGCAGACTGCGCCTGCCCCGCCGCCATCGCGACCACCCGCAAACCCTTGAGCGCTGAAATTGCGCGCGGCGCGGCGCTGTCTGCCCGCCCGCCGTGCCCCAGCGCGCCGGCAGTCCCCTTCCCGCACGACCAGACGGCGCCGTTCTGGGTGAGGAGGAGCGAGTGGTGCGCGCCTGCGGAGATATGGGGAGATATGGGGGAGATATGGGGGAGAGATGGGGAGAGATGGGGGAGATATGGGAGAGGTGGGGAGAGGTGGGGAGAGGTGGGGAGAGATGGGGAGAGATGGGGAGAGATGGGGAGACGAGCGAGTGGTGCGCGCCTGCGCAGACCGCCGCTATCTTGGGCAGCCCCCCGCGGCGTGCTGGGCAAGGGAAAGCCTCTGCTGACGAGACCGCCGCGACGAGAGTGGGGAGGGGGCGGAACGCCTCGTGCGGCCGCCACCGCCCTAGCTGGCCGCACGCCGCCGACCCCCAGCCGTAGACCGCCTAGGAAGTGTCTAGGAAGCGTCCAGGAGCTGTCCAAGGCAAGTGCTCAACCCCCAGCCGTAGACCGCCCGGTCCTCCCCGAGGGCGAGAGTGTGGAAGCCGCCCGCCGCCACCGCCCGCGCAGGCAGGTCGAGGAGCGCTCGCCGCGGCGTCGCCGAGTCGGAGAGCCGCCCGTCACCCAGCTCGCCTGATCTCGCGCAATCTCGGAGCGTCTCAGGTGCCCTCCCATCTGCACCCTCGTCCCCGTCGCCAACCGCTCGCCTGCGCTGCCGGCGCCGCAGCAATATACAGCGCCCGTCCGGAGCAGGAAGACCGAATGCAAGTGGCCCGCCGCAACTTGCACCACTATCGCGCTCGACCCAACCAGCTGACGGAGCGCCTAGGAAGTGTCTAGGTAGTGTCTAGGAACTGTCTAGGCAAGTGCTCAACCCCCAACCGGCTGACGGAGCGCCCATGGGCAGGTCGCGCCGCTCGCGCGCCCCCTCCGCTGCGCCTCCGCCTCTGCCGCCAGCCCCTCTGCCGCCTCCGCCTCTGCCGGCTCCGCTGCCGCCTCCTCGGCCTCCAACGCCGCCTCCACGGCGCTGGTCAGACAGAGCAGGCGCGGCTGTGGGTGAGGCTTCTCGGCCGCAAGGCCTACTCAAAGACAACGGGGATGGAGACGAAGTACGCGCGGGCGACGGAGTCTGCGCGACTGGCAGGCCCAGCTGGCCGTGCACGTTGCTACCCCAAGCGTAGACCTCCCCCTGCAGGGTGAGCGCCAGCGAGTGCGTTCGGCCAGCAGAGACGTCGCCAGCCGCGGGCAGCGCGACCGCCGCGAGGAGCGACGTGTCGACTCCGTCGACGAGCCGCTGCTGCCGCGCCACGAACGCGGTGGCATCGAACGTCTGCATCGGCCCGCAGATGGTCGAGGTGAAGGCAGACACGTGTCCAGTGCCGACCTGCGGTTTGGGTGGGGGATCGGGAGGCTGGATGAGACAGCGACGGAGTGCTAGTGGCTCCGGGACTGAGAAAGGCAACAGCTACACTGCGAAGGCAACAGCTAAAAACTGTCGACATTGTTGCTGGTCTGGGAGTGGGCTCGGGCTGTAGACCTGGCCGGCCTCGTTGCCGCCAAACGCGAGCAGCTGGCCGCCAAATGCGACCAGTGTGTGGTTTGTCGCGGCGATGGAGCGCGCAGTGGAGTGCGTCTTGGCAACAAAGGCGGTGTCGCGCAGCCAGCTGAAAGAGCACGGACTGTCTGCCGATGATCCACAGACAGACTCCACCTCAGCAGGCGAGCAGCCGAGAGCCGCGGCGCAGCAGAGGCGGGAGCCACTCCTCAGCGCGTTTTGCCCGGCACCGGAAAAGAAGCGGGCGGTCGCGAGGAGGGAGCAGGCGGCTACCTGGATGGAGCCCAGGCCGACGTTCGCGATAACGAGCGCGAGGAGGTCCTCAGGCAGGTCGAGGAGGGTCTTGGCGGCTTCGTCCGAGGTCAGCCTGGGGGACTCTGTCATCGTACTCGTGCGACACCGCCTTTAGCTGTGTTTTGCTGCAGAAGCGAGGCAGCGAGGCCGACGGTCAGCCAGGCCGAGAATGTACGAGTAATCTTCTGTCGCCAAAAAAGAAAAAAATGCGCCACAATATGGCTACATCAAGGAAGTTTCGTCCGTCCTCCAAAGTTGGAAGCGTTCGTTGCTCAGCGTTCGTTGCTCAGCGCGTCAGTCAGAGCTACGCGAGCACCGCTTGGCGCGACCGTCCGTTCTTGCGAGCATCGACTTTGATCGCCTCGTCAGCAGGTCGCTGCGACCTCCGTGCATCCAGGAACTTGCGCGGAATGTCGAGGTTCGTACTACGCCAGGCGGCTGATGATGACGACCCCGCCGCCGCCGCCCCCGCCCCCGCCCATGCCCCCGCCCCCGCTCCCAAGCGCCCCTTCCCCGGTGTTTGCGGTTAGGGCCTGTGTCTCGTGAGAGGGTATGAGATCTTGTTGGTATGTGATCTATACGTGAGACCCCCACTCTCGGCCCCTGTGCGTGTGGGTGTGCGTAGAAAGTGGAAGCGTAGAAAGTGGAACCCATCGAGAGGTGCCGCGGCCGGAGCCGCCGTTTTGGCACATGTTGAGAGAGAGATTTTTAGCAATACCAAACAACTCTAACACTCACACGTCATTTGGGGCCTGGAGCCCTGTTCACGCGCGCGCGAGACGTGCAGACAGGGTTGCCAGGTGAGAGCGAATGGCGCGGTTCACGCCTCGCACAACAGAGAGAGAGATGCGCTCTGCATGGTGGGACATAAAAGAGAGCGAGTACTTGGGCGAGTAGGCCGTGCGGTCGACGCTGCCGCGCGCGACTTTGCGCGCGAGGCGGCGCAGCTTTTGTCACATGTTGTGGGATCACCGTTTTTTCTGCAAACGAGACGGCCTGCGCAGCCTCTGACTATATTCGCGCGCCGCCGTGCGCTGTGAGAGGCTGAGGTGCGAGCCCTGGGCTTCACAGCCCTCGATGTGCATGCTGCACGTCCTGCTCATCGCGCCCTGTCTGCTCCCCTCGACGCGCCCACGCATCGAGAGGCCGATCGCCGCCGCCGCCGCCGCTGCCACCGCAGAGCCGCCTCCGCAGCAGGGCCGCGTCGAGCTCTCGGGCCGGAGCCGCGTCGTGGAGACTGGCCTGGACGACGGCATCGATGCTTTCCTCCGCTCGCCGCGGTCCGATGTGACGCTGCTACACCCGGCGTCAGCCACGCCGATGGAAGGCGGCGGCTTTGCCTGCGAGCTCGAGCCGCTAAGCTTCTTCTCCCTCACGGTTCAGCCTCTGCTGGAGATGGTGGTCGAGCGGAGCGACGCGCGCTCGCTCACCGTGCGGATCATTCGCGGCCGCGTGCGTGTTGGCGAGCGGATAAGCGAGAGCGTGCGGATCGAGGGCGAGAACGTGCTCCGCTGGGGCGAGGAGTCTGGAGCGTGGCAGCTCGAGTCCGACATCTCGCTGCAGCTGTCCCTCCGCTCGCCAGAGCTGCCCTCGCTTGCACGCCGCGTGTGGATCTCCTCGGGCAACGCGATTGTCTCCTCGGCGGCGGGGCGCAGCGGGCGCAAGCTGCTTCGGGAGGTCGTTGTGCGGGTGGCGGCCACCTCAGCGAGCGGCGGCGGGAGTTGACCGGCGCGGCGGCGGTGTGTCCACACATTTACTACGTTTTTTGCGTGCACACGGCGTCTAGCTTTCTTTCATGGCATCGAAGTGGCCAGACCCAAACACGTATGGGCATAGCGTATGGGTACATGGATGCGCAAAAGCGGCTGCACAGCCACAGGCGGCAGGCGCGCGCGCCAAGGGCTGCCGACATAAAGCGCTCGAGTCCTCGGAGCAGCGCATCGCCGCGGAGGAAGCGCATCGCCGGAGTTAACGCATCGCGGGAGGGCGTCGCCGTGGAGGAATTTGACACGAGTTTGCAAGCAACACGAGTTTAGTCCGCGGGCGTCTTCAGAAAGAACCAAGTAACAGCGCACGGAAAGCCGATGAGGAGAAACGCCTGGAAAGCGATGTCGTTCTCGTGGCCGTCGAAGGTGCTGGCGGCGGTGGCGACCGGCCGAGCGGAATCGTAGCCGACGTCCCACGGAAAGAGAGCGAGCAGCGATGACACATCGCTCACGGCTCCGACGTCAACGAGCGCCGCTGCCGGGGCGCGCGCGGGCGCGCGAGCCGCCAAACTGGGCGTGCCGACGCTGAGGCCGGCCGCGAGGGCGCAGAGGAGCGAGAGGAGAGTCAGGCGGAGCATTTGCATCAGGCGTACAACAGTCAGGGATCGAGCCCGGGCCTTGCGCCGGCGTTCGGAGATCTGAAAAAGAGAAAACAAAACACATCTGACTCTCCGAAATAAAGGGAAACTTTGGAGAGGGAGCATTTTTCAGATCTGAAAAAGAAGAAAAAAACCCATGAATTCTTTTGCGGCGAAGGCTCTCTCTCTTGCTTCACCTGCCTACCGCAATCTCTAGCTCGTCGGACTCTCAGCCCGATGCGGCGGGGCGGCTGGCAGCACCGCGCGTCGTCGCCGGGCAAGAGCGGCAAACCGGGAAGCCTAAACAATTCCAACGCCTCCGCCGTCAGCTCTGGAAAGTCGACGACATCGACGCCGGCGTCTCAATCTGGAGTCTCCATCCGGACACTGAGCAGCAGCGCCTCCGTGTCGTCGGCGGAAGGCGCCGCCGCCGCGTGGACGCCGGGTTCGAGAGGCAAGCCCGAACCGCCCGGCGCCAAGTCGTCCAGTCTGCCGAGCACTCCGCGAGCCGAGCAGCCGTCCAAGGCTTCGCTGGCGGCGGCAGAGGTGGAGGCGGCCGCCGAGGTGGAGGCCACCAAGGCGACGGCTCGCGCGGAGGTGTCGCTAGCTGCCGCGGCGGATCTGGCGCGCTCGCTGCTGCGGAGCTCTGAGGCAGGCGAAAAAGAAAAACAAGCGCCGCGCGTCTCGTGACGCCACCTCGGCTTCCCTCAGGTAACCTCGCTCGGCGGCGGCGACGAGGGCGGCGGCGGCGGCGCTGGGGGAGGCGGCGGCGGCGGCGAGCGCGGCGGCGGTGTCGATGAGGGCGGCGGCGGTGGCGAGGGCAGCGGCGCCGGCTGCGGCGGCGGGGAGGGCAGCAGCGGCGGTGGCGTGTCGCGGCCTTTGGCGCTGCGTCTCCAGGCGGAGGTCGTGCAGGGCGAGCTGAGCAAGTGGATCGAGGAGTGTCTAGGAAGTGTCTAGGAAGTGTCTAGGAAGTGTCTAGGCGAGCTGAGCAAGTGGATCGAGGAGTGCGCGGCGCTTCGGGGCGAGCTGCGCCGTCGCAACCGCCGCTACTCCGCGCTCAAGAGCAAGCTGCGCAGCAAGAAGACCGAGGAGAAGGACGAGGTGGTTCGGGAGGTGGAGGGGACAAAGGTGGAGTTGCAGGCGGCGGGCGAGCTGCCGGTGCATCGTGTCTAGGAGGTGTCTAGGAGGTGTCTAGGAAGTGTCTAGGCGGCGGGCGAGCTGTCGGTGCCGGGTCCCGAGCTGTGCCAGCTGCTCGTGGTCGAGGACGACGCCTTCCAGGCCTATTAATTAATAGTTAATTAATAGTTAATTAATAGTTAATTAATAGCTGCTCGTGGTCGAGGACGACGCCTTCCAGGCCGAGTCGATCCCATTAATGGACTGATGAGCTGTTAATTAACGATTCATCAACGACGCCCTCCAGGCCGAGTCGATCCTGCTGCTGTGCGAGCAGTGCAAATACAAGGACGTGCGCGTGGCGAGCTCGGGCGAGGAGGCGATCGCGATCATCCGCAGGCCAGCCCCGCCAGCCCCGCCACTTTGCGTGTGCGGAGAAGGGTACCTCACCTTTCCTCACCTCACCGTACCTCACCTCACCTTACCTCACCCGCAGGGACAAGAGCATCAACCTCGTCCTCAGCGACGTGACGATGGAAAGCATGTCGGACGGCTGCTGTGGGCAGGGTCTCTTCACACCTCTAGCTGTGAACAGGTGATGATGGAGGGCATGTCCGGCTACGACCTGCTCCTCCAGATCCGCGAGATCCGGAAGACGCTCGCTGTCGTCCTCATCTCCGCCTCAAGAACCTTCTAGGAACCTTCTTAAGAACCTTCTAGGAAGACGCTCGCTGTCGTCCTCATCTCCGCCTACGAGTCCATCGACCTCGTCGAGAGGTGTGAAGAGGGCAGGTCCCGCACCCCCCACGGGGCCCGAATCCGCTCCACAAGTGTCGCCGCGTCGCCAGGTGCATACTCTCGGGGGCGGACGCCTACCTGATGAAGCCTCTGCGCGTGCACGAGTTGCGAGACATCTGCCGCCTAATTAATAGTTAATGACTGGCCAATTAGCTAATCAATTAGGCGCGTGCACGAGCTGCGAAACATCTGGCAGTACGTCTGGCGCAGGCGGCACGAGGCGGCGCATCGCCGGGCGGCATGTGCGCCTCTGAGTCGCAAGTGGACGGGAGGCATCGCTCTCTTCCTTAGGCGGCGCTCAACCTGCGGCACTTGCGCCGCGTCGCCGTAGAGAGCGAGCATGAGACAGCGTGGCAGAGGACGGTGTGCGCACTATACAGGCACACGCGGCTCCTCGAGGAGCCTTCTGGGAGCCTTCTAGGAGCCTTCTAGGAGCCTTCTAAGAACTGTACAGGCACATGCGGCTCTTCGAGGCCACTGCCGACGAGATCAAGCCCGAGGAGGAGGAGGGGGGGAGGGGTCCGGGC